TTTAAAATTGAAAAATTTTTATAGTGCTTAAGGGAGTCTCAAATCCCGTATTCTTTTAAAAAATATAATGTAATAACGATTGGCGATTTTTAATCACATGTTTCCTGTCCTTTTAATATTTTTTTTTTCAATATTTCGGTTTTTTGTGATTTTTTTAAGGAGTTTACTCTGAAAAAGTCATTGGAGTTATATTTTTAAATTCTTTTAAAGCTTCTTCAGAGCCCTTGTCAAGGATAATACAAAAATATCGTTTTGTTTTCTCTTTAGAGGCCTAATCGTGGTTCTTTTATAGTAATATATTTCATAGAGACTGAATTGTAGTTATGAATTTATTGTTAAATATTTTTCAAAATCAGATTTTTTTAAAAAAATATTATTCAATGATATGAAGAGCACAGATCGTAGACTTCTAGCAAATATTTTAGGCCTATTCGTGTTCTTTTTTAAACACTTTCCAAGGATATTCATATTCCTAATAGTATTTAAAAAAAAAAACATTATCCAAGGATTTTGGAAAAGATGTCTATCAAAATATCCTTTACCACAACACCCTTCACTAATGAAACAATTAATCACACCATTCACTCAAAAATAATTGCACATCCTGATTAAAAGCAACTTTGTCACTGCCACGTGACAACGCTGACATTATCTTTCCCGTTAACTTGAATTAGCTGGAATTACAAAAGCTTGTCGAATTACAGAGAAAAGTGTGATTTTTCAAATGAGTAATGCAGTTCAAACCCCCAAACCCGTACCAAAGAGTTGAAACTCCCTGCAATTGCATTTGTTAACATTAATCAAAAATGCATTTATTCTCTTCATATCCTCTTCATTGACAACTACTATCACCCACACACTAACTCTCTCTCTCTCTCTTTTGTCTCTCTCTCTATGTTTTTGTTTATCTCTGTAGCTGTGGTTTTAACTACCATTAGCCTGTTCGCTAAATGAGTTCAGACGAACCACAAGTCAAATACCAAGAAGTAAGTCCATTTCAAATAAGTGAAGGATTTACAAATTCCAACGCACGCAGTCACACAATGGAACCCGTCAAAACAGGACGTATTTTTCTGGCAGCTGTTGCTGGTGAGTGGAAGTGAATTTTAGCTTTCGAATTCAACTAACACCAATATATATTTTTATGAAATTTCTTTAGCTAACTTATCAGCCTTTGCCGTTGGCACATGTCTGGGCTGGACCTCACCTGTTACACCAAAACTAAAAACCGAAGATACCTCTGATTCACCCCTGAATGCACCCATCGATTCAACAGATGAAGCCTGGATTTCCTCAATTGTGGCATTGGGAGCTTTGGTTGGTAAGTTTTGAAAATTGTATATTATTACATTATTTTTTAAAGTGTATAGTCCTTGGTCACAATTTTTCCCTTGAACGAAAAACAATAGCCAAAAATTTTATTTTAAATATTTGAGGTGTTGGAATATGTCGTACCTTTTTGGAACTCAAATTCTTTTACCCAACGATACTGGTTTTTATTTTTATCCATTTGTCTATTCATTGGAAAGTCCCTTTACTACACATATCTTCGTGCATAAAAATGCAGCAGATCGGTTAATATGCCAATTTTTAAATTATGAAGGGATAATACGTTTTAAGTTTTTTATAATTCGAAACGTGCAGACGGGAGTCTCTGCAGACGAGCTGACAGAGAGTCTCTGTAGACGAACTGGCGGGGAGTGCATATCGATTTATATGGAAATTTGAAAATAGGTCCAACTCTTTATACCCTCCAACATAATATGGAGGGTATATTAAGTTTGTTATTCCGTTTGTATTACGTCTGCAGAATTTTTGGTATTGAAAACGGTCCATGTAGGTCCACGTCTTCGTATAGCCCCCATATAACGGTACCACCCGATATTCAATATTTTTATGATTTTAGAGACATTATTCATCGGAATTGTTTCAAATTTGGTATTTGAAGTTCATAATGGATACTACAGCCTATGACAAAAATTTGTCTGTGCAGGCCCACGCCTTCGTATAGCGTCCATATGGATATGGAAATGGATACTATAGTCTATGACAGAAAATTGTAAGTTTAGGTCCATATTCAATATTTTTATGATTTTAGCGACATTATTCATCAGAATTGTTTCAAATTTGGTATTTGAAGTTCGTAATGGATACTATAGTCTATGACAGAAAATTGTCTGTGCAGGTCCACGCCTTCGTATAGCGTCCATATAATGGTACCTCCTGATATTCGGTATTTTGATAATTCTAGCGATTTTATTCACCGGAATTGTTTCAAATTTGGTATTTGAAGTTCGAAATGGATACTACAGTCTAAGACAGAAAATTGTTTGTGCAGGTCTACGTTTTGGTATAGCCTCCTTATAATGGTACCTCCCGATATTCAATATTTTTATGATTTTAGAGACATTATTCATCGGAATTGTTTCAAATTTAGTATTTGAAGTTCGTAATAGATACTACAGCTTATAACAAAAAATTGTCTGTGCAGGTCCATGCCTTCGTATAGCGCCCATATAATGGTACCTCCTGATATTCTGTATTTTGATGATTTTAACGACACATTCACCGGAATTGTTCCAAATTTGGTATTCGGTATTTTGATGATTTTAGCGACATTATTCACCAAAATTGTTTCAAATTTGGTATTTAAAGTTCGTAATAAATACTACAGCCTGTGACAGAAAAGTGTCTGTGCTGGTCCACATTTTGGTATAGCCCCTCTTGGTACTCCCTATATTCGGTATTTTGATGATTTTAGCTACATTATTCACCGATTTTTTTTTTCAATGTTTCGCATTTGAATATTGTAATGGCTCTCTCTCCAAATAAAATGTTCAGCATAGGTTCCCTAGTAACCTGATTAACCTTCCTTCTCACGACTTAAAGTATTTTGAGAGTTTTAAATACATATTGATTGCCACACACTGATTTCCGGTTTTTAAGAGCTTCAACTTAAATTTCAGCAGACATTTTTTGCATTTTTTTTTTAAATTGTCTAAAATATGTGCCAATTTTGACATAGACCCCATTCACAGGTGCTGGCCTATTTTAATTGTTGTTTAAGATCCTTGCAATATTTCATCCGAATTGGTTCAACTCTATCTCTCTCTCTCTCAGATAGAAAAATTTTAATATGAATCCAGATTTTGTCACTAAAAGATACTGTTACTTCTTTCTAAAAATTAGGGTGGTAAACATGTTTATAGAGCAAGCGTTACTCGAATTTCTGTGTAGTTACAGAAGGTTTTGATGTTGTTGGGGGAGGGCGATCGGTATGCTTTACTTAAGCCAATAAGAGAAAAACACAGTGGCATAAAAAACGAGTATGCTCGATATTTTTACTAGCAACATTACTAACGCTCGAATTTGAGAAAAGATTAAAACTCGATTCGAGCTGTGGATAAAAGTAGCACTAGCCATGTACAGGTTTTTAACCTCCTGATAATATAGTTTAAATCTTGGTACATAAATGCACCCAAATTCACAGTTTAGTGGTGATTGAAGGTTATTATACTTCCGTTCTTCAGGTTTTGATTCCTTATTTACTTATTTTTCAAGTCGCCTACATTATTTACAGTAAATATTGATTTTTGCTTTCTTCAAATAAATTGTGGCCAAGGACATAGTTTTACTATTCTTTTATGAAATAATCATTTACAAATCCAATTTTGATTTTTTTTTTTCAATTTCTTCCAGCCCCCTTTGTTGCTGGTCCCTTAGCCGATAAAATTGGTCGCAAATGGGTGCTACTCTCCAGCTCCGTGTTCTTTGTCATTGCCTATGTGCTCATGATGATCGGTGGCTCGGTAGTGGTTTTGCTAGTGGCTCGATTGATTCAGGGTTTCGGGGTTGGTTTCGTTATGACCGCCCAGCCCATGTATGTGGGTGAAATAGCCACGGACAGTGTGAGAGGTGCCACGGGATCGCTTATGCAATTGTTTATTGTGTGTAAGTAATGGGCATTTTTGTTCCCAAATTTTAGTGCCCACTCAATTTCTCTCTCTCCCGTTTTTAGCTGGCATCCTCTACGTCTATGCCATTGGCCCCTATGTCTCATATCAAGCTCTACAATGGTGCTGCATCGCCGTACCCATTGTCTTCGATGTGTGCTTCTTTTTTATGCCAGAAAGTCCCTATTATTTGGCTGGTAAGGGTCGCAAAATGGAAGCTTTGAAATCGTTGCAATTCCTTCGCGGTCAAAGTGCTGATGGTGCTCAGGATGAAATGGCCACCATCCAGGCTGGTGTTGAGGAATCAATGGCCAATAAGGGTTCTATTGCCGATATTATTAAGAACCCTGGCAATCGTAAGGCTTTGTTCATTTCTGCCGGTCTCTTGGTTTTCCAACAATTCTCTGGCATCAACGTGGTGCTTTTCAATTCGCAATCGATTTTCGAAAGTGCCAATACTGGTTTGGATCCTGCCGTTGCCACAATTATTGTGGGCATCGTACAAGTGGCTTCGTCTGGCTTAACTCCCATCATTGCTGATCGTTTGGGTCGCAAAGTCATTCTCCTGACATCGGCTGGTATTATGACAGTGGGTCTGGCGGCGTTGGGTGGTTTCTTCTATATGAAACTCGTTGTGGGAGATACTTCCAGTGTCCTGTGGTTGCCCGTTCCCGCCTTGGTTGTTTACAACATTGTCTATTGTGTTGGCTTCGGTCCCCTGCCCTGGGCTGTTTTGGGTGAAATGTTCCCGGCAAATGTCAAGTCGATTGCCTCCTCCATTGTTGCCTCCACCTGCTGGATTTGTGGTTTCCTGGTAACCTATTTCTACCCGGCCTTGGATGCCATGGGCTCCTACTATGCTTTCTGGCTGTTCGGTATCTTCTGTATCGTTGCCTTCTTCTTTGTCCTCTTCATTGTCATGGAGACGAAAGGTTTGAGTCTTCAAGAAATCCAAGATCGATTGAATGGTCGAAAATAAGCCGATCGTCTTCATTCGTGGTTGGAGGACGCGTGCGATAGGCGACCGAGTCATTTTTGTAGGATATCGAAATGTATTTGGAGTATTTTACAAATCCACACCCAATATAGTATTGCAAGTAGTTAGTTATGTATAAATAAATAAACAAATAATTATTATGTAAGTGTGTATGTATATTGTTAAGTTTTTAGGTTTATATACAATTTACTATTCCTTATATACACGATATTATATATATATATGCAATAAAAGATTAAAGATGTATGAGTTATGTACGAGTATATTATTTTTAATAAATAATAATAATAAAATAATAAATAATTTGCGTTAATGGATACTAAGAAAAGATCGAGTAAGGGGCGGAACTGCCAAAGGGAAAGTACGTAACGTGTATCCCGCCAGTTAACGATTATGAGTTGAGTGCTTAACATTCAGTATCGCATATTATGTATTTAAATTTCTTTTGTTCAGAGACTCACAATATCAAACGCCATAATTTTTACATTTTTTAATTTTTTTTTGAATGAAAGCAAAAATCTCTGAAATAGCATCAAATTTTAGAATATGTTTAGATTTTTTCGAATTGGTCACCTTTGGCACGAATTATTGCCTTCAAACGGCCAATGGAACCGTCACACGCTGCCCGAATCTTGCTCTGCAGTATTTTGGCCCATTCGCTTGCTTCAGATGATCGACAAATTGGTATTTTTTAGTGCCAACCTTGCTTTACAAGCATTCCATTTTTATACCCTACACCACAAGGTGGTCAGGGTATTATGTCTTTGTGGATTTGTTTGTAACAGGAAAAGGAAACGAGATAGACCCATAGTTCCTTTTGATGATCTGCATAGAATCACTTTCTGAGTTGATTTATGCATGTCAGTCCGTCTGTCCGTCCGTCCGTACGTCCATCTGTCCATGTATTCTTGTGAACAAAATGCAGGTCGCATTTATTATCCGATTGAGATGAAATTTTGCAAACAACATTTGTTTGGCCCAAGGACGAACCCTATTGAAATTGGAGATAATCGGTAAAAATTTAGATATAGCTCCCATATATATCTTCGTCCGATTTGCCTTCTATTGTGCACCAAACGTGTAATATCAGTCCGAATAGTATGGAATTTTGCACATACAACCAAATTAGGCCTGAAAATAAGTATGCCAAATTTTATCGAAATCAGTTCAGATATAGCTATAGCTCCCATATATATTGTTCATCCGATTTGTTATTTTTGTCCTCCGCAGCCGTAATATGCACTATGTAACAACAATATTTGGGGAAATATATCAAATGCAGCTCAGAAATACCTTTGCTAAATTTTATCGAGATCGGTTAAGATTTGGATATACCTCCCATATATAACTTCGTCCGATTTACCATTTATTATGCACCAATCGTCTAATATTTGTCCAAATGGGATGGAATTTGGCACTTGGGACCGAATTTAGTCTAGAAACTAGTATGTAAAATTTGGTGAAGATCGGTTCAGATATAGTTATAGCTCCCATATATATTGTTCATCCGATTTATTGTATTTGTTACCGGCAGCCGTAATATGCACTCCGTAACAACGATATTCAGGGAAATATATCAATACAGCTCAGAAATATCTTTGCCAAATGTTATCGAGATCGGTTCAGATTTGGATATAGTTCCCATATATATTTTTATCCGATTTCAAATTAATTTCGCACCAAATGGGAAATACAAGTCCGAATTTAAAAGATACAAATGCTTCGGCATATTTAGTCCTTTGAATTTTAAATTATAATTATAATCATAGCGTGTATGATTAAATTCTCCCATAAAAACTTTTAATTATTAAGTGGAGCTCAACTAAATTAGCAAAGTGGTGTAGGGTACTTTAGGACTTTAGGACTTTCTTTACTGGTCATGCTTCATATAATACAAATACAGATATTGGTATGGTCAAAATTACAAGAAAATTTAAATTGTTATATCCAATTTTATGCGAAATTATAAATTCCATATTCATCTCAGGTATCTGGTTGAGAGAAATATTTGGATATATCAATTTGTAAAGAATCGCTGAATTGCTTCGCAAGCTACCAGAAGGGATTTGCAGATATATATCATCTTTACAGCATATCTTGTTCAAAATCTTGAACCTTATTTGGGGAAGGTACCAGAAGAAACGATCCCATCGATAGAACAGATCTTGTGTTGATGGAAATATTGAGATGTATCAAGTCTGAATGGTATCGGATGTTAATTTCGCGTCATGAATATTCAAAATGTTCATTCTTTGTAGGGGAGGAACCAAAGGTATGGACCCATATATACCATCTTCACAGCAGATCTTGTGTTAGTAGAAATAATAAGATGTGTGAAATATGAAGAGATCCGGATGCTTTTAATCGTTTTGGTTATTCAAATTTTTGAGCCTTTGTGGGAGAGGTACCAGAAGGAATTGTTCGATCTCTACCATCTTTATAACAGATCTTGTCTTGATGGAAATATTGAGATGTGCCTAGACTGAATGGGATCGAATGTTAATTTCGCATTCTATGAGCTTAATGGATATTCAAAATTTTAAACCTTTGTGGGGGAGTCGACCGATGTTGTCCATTTTCGCACCTGACTTAGCACTTGGAAATATTAGGATTTGCAGAGTTGGAGCAAAATCAAATCATTCTTTCTCTTTATGTGTAGTAAAATATTTTTTCATGTTTGGACAAAATCAAATACTCCTTTCGAGAGTTTTCGTGCGCACTAGCCAGCTAGACAATCGGATGGACTTTGCTAGATCCAAATGTCGTGAAACGGATTTGGTCCAAAAGACCGTTATTTCGATTAGGCTCGTTTTGATGGTATAAAATGACATATACCCTCTCTAGCCATGTGGCTGAGGGTATAAAAACCTTAAAAACACACATCGCATTGTTGGCCTTTAGTGCTCTCGAACAAATATGTACCTACAGGTAGTTCAAAATAGTTCGGCAATGTCTACAGGTACATTTAATAGTGAAGATATACAAAGTTCGATCCTCTCAAATACATTTTGATTTTAATATTCTTAAACTGATCAAAATGATTTTTAGTTCCATACTTTGCTGGTCCCCTGGCAGATTGGATGAGTCGTAAATGGTTATTGCTTGGCAACTCAACACTCTTCATACTTGGCTATGTTCTGCTGATGATCGGCGGGAAAGTGTGGATTATACTTGTGGCTCGTATAATACACGGCTTTGCTTGTGGAACATCGATGACAGTAGTGCCCATCTATGTGGGCGAAATAGCTACTGATGACGTCAGAGGAGCTGTTGGATCACTGATGAATTTGTTCATTGTTTGTAAGTCACGAATTTGGTAATTTTTTTAAGGGAAAATTAATTTAATTTAATCTCCCTCTTTCCTATCCCTTTCTTTCAGCTGGTATCCTTTATGTATATGCCATTGGTCCGTATGTTTCCTATGTGGTTATGCAATGGTGCTGCCTTGCCGTACCCATTGTATTTGTTGTCTGTTACTTATTTATGCCTGAAAGTCCTTATCATTTGGCGGCTAAAGCTCGTAAGGAGGAAGCTTTGAAATCGCTGCAATTTTTGCGTGGTCAAAGTTTGAATGGGGTCCAGCCGGAAATGTCTTCGATTGAAAAGTTTTTGGAAGAAACGAAGACATCACAGGGCTCGGTGATGGATCTCTTTAAATTGCCAGGCAATCGGAACGCCCTGTTCATAACAACAGGCCTATTGGTATTTCAACAATTATCGGGAATCGATGCGGTACTCTTCAATTCTCAATCGATATTTACAAATGCTGGCAGTAGTCTAGATCCTGCCGTGGCCACCATTATAGTTGGCACGGTGCAGGTGGGAGCCTCAATTGTCATACCCATTATTGCCGATCACATGGGACGTCGTATTATTCTGCTGACTTCGGCCGCCATTATGGCCGTGGCCTTGGCGGCATTGGGTGCATTTTTCTATGTGAAAGCAGATTCCGGTAATGTCGATACAATTCTCTGGTTACCAATCACGGCTCTGGTGGTGCACAATATTTTATATTGCATTGGTTTTGGAGCGCTGCCATGGGCCATATTGGGTGAAATGATTCCGCCAAATCTGAAATATATTGCCACTCCCATTGCCACATCTTTGTGTTGTTCGGCTGGTTTTGTGGCCACCTATGTTTATCCCTATTTGGATGTAATGGGCACCTATTATGTTTTCTGGATATTTGGAGGATTTTGCGTTCTGGCGTTTTTATTTAGTTTCTTTGTAGTCATTGAGACCAGGGGCTTGAGTTTGCAGGAAATTCAGGATAAACTACACACAAAGAAAATATGAGAGATTCAGAGAGATGCAATGAATGTGGATTGACCAGTACAGTATTTGGATTAATGAGTGGAAAATAAACAGACCATATAAATCTGAGAAGCAGTATTAAAATAAAGAAAAAATAAAATATAAAAAATAATAATAAAAAAAGAAGTAAATATAAAAAGTAATAACACAATAATAATATTTATATTAATAATAATAATAATAATAATAATAATAATAATAATAATAATAATATAATAATAGTAATAATAATAATAATAATAATAATAATAATAATATAGTAATAATAATACTAATAATAATAATAATAATAATAATAATAATAATAATAATAATAATAATAATAATAATAATAATAATAATAATAATAATAATAATAATAATAATAATAACAATAATAATAATAATAATAATAATAATAATAATAATAATAATAATAATAATAATAATAATAATAATTATAATAATAACAATAATTATAATAATAATAATAATAATAATAATAATAATAATAATAATAATAATAATAATAATAATACTAATACTAATAATAATAATAATAATAATAATAATAATAATAATAATAATAATAATAATAATAATAATAATAATAATAATAATAATAATAATAATAATAATAATAATACTAATAATAATAATTATAATAATAACAATAATAATAATAATAATAATACTAATAATAACAATAATAATAATAATACTAATAATAATAATAATAATAATAATAATAATAATAATAATAATAATAATAATGAAAATAATAACATTGTTATAATCATTGTTATTTTGTTTTAAAAACAATAGCTGTCCTGATAATAATTATTAATTGGAATTTAAATAAATTCAATTATTTTGAATTTCACTGTTTTGCACTTGTAGAGACACAAAAACACGGTAAAATTTATTTATATTTAAGATGGTTAATCGACACAAAAAAAA